ATGGTCCTGTAACTGTTAAAAAATATTACTCCATTATGAAGTTTAAGTAAATTTTAAGATGCATAAAACGGGTAATAACCAAATTTTCTGAAAAAGGCAATACCTATTTCTGTGAGTTTCGGCAACGGGCTATCTCACGAGGTTCCGGTCATGAAAATAACTTGAAATTTTTATTGACGATATTACAAGATGCTATTAGGAGTTTAGTTACCATCTTCTTTCTGTAGTAAAATATGATGTATTAATAGAAGTAGTTATATATTCTTCTTCAATTCACTTGATATAAAAAAGCGACTTGAAGTAGAGCTGAGAGAGGAGAATAGTAACGATGAATTTTAGAGTATTACGGAGCTTGTATTTCCATTGATTCCAGTTTTCTTTTGAAAAAAAACATCCTGCATCAGACAGTCGCTACGTGCTTGGTTGTTAGTGTTTTCCATCATAAACGAAAACTTTTTGATTAATAAATTTGTTATATTTGTGCTTGTGATTTGTGAGTTCGTAATCATATGCATCGGGTTCCAGCCGAGCAGAGATCTTTCAGGGGAAAAAAGTTATTTACACAGACTTTTTGGGGTTGCCGTTGAGAGTTTTCTTGATTTTCAGAGAATTTATTACAATTTTTTTTCTTTAAGCAACATACAGTCCTCAGGGGATTTTTTTTTCTGCCTTTCTTTTTAATTATTTTTGTTTCAATAATTGATTATTTGAAATATTTAATGATAATTTATCGCAGTAAAGTCTTCGGCCTAATGTAAACCGAATGCTGGCCGAGTGTGTGAAAATGCCGGGTTACTGGGAATGGGATTAAAAAAAATAAGTATGAGTATTTCCTCAAAATATATTTTACTGCACATGTATGTATTGTTTGCTTGAGAATACAACAGGAAATAAATTGCCCAAATACCCTTAAATTCAGTAAAAGTACTTACTTTATGATGGCATATAGAATTTACTACATGAAAATGAAAATAAATAAATACATAGTATACACTGCTTTATCTATCTATCTGTATATAATCAGACACACCTCATAAAAAAAACTTCTTGAAGGTATAAAGCTGTCTATAATGAAAATTAAATAGCCGACTGTAAAAAATGGCTATTTTTTTATTTTTAGAAATAGGGTTTTTTTTATCTGCAAGGGTGTGGCAGAGTTATCCAGATTGCTGGGTTATCGAATGACTAGTTTTCGGGAGTTTACTGTACTATAACTGTTCGCCCCCGGGGGTCTGCAGCACCTCACTAGAGAATCTAGTATGATTGTCTTTCATTTAGTGTTAAGATTTCCCTCTTTTACAGATTCTGAAAGGCATCGTGAAATTGAAAGATGTACCATCCTAGACTAGATTGCCCCAATGAAAAAACACTCCTAGAACATGTATTAAAAAATAAAATCATCAATAAAAATTTTAATTAATACAGTTAAGTACAATATTTATTTGAAATTATTATTTTGTAATATTTTTGTTTGTATATAATTAAGTGTTTATTGTTTTCTTAAAGGAGAAAAAGAAGGGTTAAAAAGTCATACAGGAATATTGAGGAACCTTTAAATCACTGAGCTATGTTCTGGGAGCGAGGGAAGGATGTACAGAATCTTGCAGGTTAGGCTGATGCATAAGGGAGGCTCACTGAAATCGAAAGTTTTAAAAACCGCTGTCTTAAATGCTTCTTTTAATTTTGTGACAAGTTTCTTTATTTTAAAGTTAATATTTTTTTCCCCTCATTTTTATCATTACTCCTTATATGTATATAAGTTGTCTTGCTTTTGGGTTTATTGATTTTTTCTTACTTTTACACTGGGTCTTATGTTCTACGTTCTAATTTTCAGAATCCTTCTGAAAAATCTTTCTAGAATCTTTCTGGTCCAGAAGAATCAGGAAGTTTTTCAAAATCTCGTTCAGTGGAAGCAAGGGAGGACACACGTAATATTTAATGACGGGAAAAAGTTATGTATATGTTTGGGTGTGGGCCAAATGGGGTTATCTACTAATTTCATGATCCTTAAAAAGAGGCTATTCCTGATAAGATGGCAGTATGGAGATGGAAGTTTCATGATTTTGACTTTCATTGGATATTACGGTAATAGTAAAGTAAATTTTATCAGGTAGAAAATGAATAGATTTCAATACATGATATACTTCACCACAATACTTTAAATTATGTACCACAAATAGCAGCTCATAGCTTTATATTTGCATATGATGATGCTGCTGTACATCCAGCCAAAGACATGGATACTTGATTTGCTACAAATAACATGAACTTACTCAACTGACAGTTACCATACCGACCTGAATATTATTAAAAATCTTCAGGAGATATATATCAAGCCAAACACAAACTTATAGACATGGCCTATGAATGAATTTGAATGGATTTAAAAGTTTAATCTGTTTGGGGGGAAATATGTTTCATAGCTTTGTTCAAAATCTGTATAAGAATTTACCAAAGGGAATTCTCAAATTTTCAAAATTTAAAATAAGTTATATTAAATTTTAAGTACTTCAAAATATGCAGCTAAAAACTGTTGTGAAGCACATTTTAATATTTCATTGAATTTTACCCCTTTTTCGTGGATTTTTTTTGTAAAATTGATTACCCTTTAAAAGTTTATTCAAAAAAAATTTAAAATGTTACGTAAAAAGTTTTGTTGATTAGCAATAAAGTATAGAAGCTTTTTTTCATTGCGTCTATCATGTTTTTCGCTGGCTGTATATATTAATGAAGGTTTTACTTCTCAATTTACGTTTATTAGATGTTTTTTTCATTTTCAACAGTAAATTTAGTCTAAATAACGCTCGTTTTATGTGTTTCCTCTATTTTTTTTTTCAGTTTTAAAAAAGTATTAAAGATTTTAATGGAACACTAACAACATTTTTTTCTTTATTTGTATTTTCGTTTAAATTAAAGTATTATTTCTTTTGTTATACAAATGGCATTTATGCTTAGGATTTTATTGCAAATAAAATATTCTTACAAATTAAATAAAAGCAAAAAATAATCAAAGCTATACAAACATATTTCATTCGAAACAGTATTACAGAAAAGGGATCAACTCTTCCAAATCACAAAACAACATATGTTCTTCGCGTTTAATAAAAATCACATATTATTTAGCGAGACAAGCAAAACATTTTTGACTACCTCAAACAGTGAATAAACTCCCAAAAGGTTCCGCCTATTAAGAAGTACTTATTAATATTAAGAATTTTTTTCAATAACAAAATATAAAGCATATTAAAATTTTATTATATAGACATAAAATGCATCTATCAAAATAAAAAATAAAAATGAATCAAAAATACATAAATATATTTTATAAAAAAAACACTACAAGGACAAATTCCTCTTTCAAAAAAAAAATGACAAACGATATACATAAATAACAAAAACCCACATATGCTTTAACAGGTCATACATGCATTGCTTTTTCAATTCATTGGATGCAGTAAAAGTATACATAACCATACATTCCCGTAAGATGTATAAGGGTAATAAAAACCAACCTTTTTAAACCTCGAGTCCAAACTACAATAAAGTAAAAAACTTTATGCCACATTAACCCTTTAAACCCAGAAAAATATATTCCCCCAAGCTTAAGGAAAAATATATTTTATACCCTGCAACTGCTAGCATTATGACTGGCGGGCGGGTTTGTTAGGAAGAGCAGAGGTATTGAAATGGGGTGAGGGAATGTATGAAGGGGGTTAACGTACATGAAGAGTTCGATATATTTTTTTACTTTTTTTTACTCCTTTGTCAAAGTATGATATACGTATCCCCTCCTTACTTTTTACGCTTTTGTCATTGTCAGAGAATGCCGTTGGGTTTGAAAGCATGATAAAAGATGTCGATGAATCATGCCCAAAGTTTTGAATGACAATCAAGAAATATTGCTAAAAACACTCCCTTCCCTCCGGAAAAAAAAATGCTTTAAATCAAAATGTTCCAATAAGTGTGGATCATCAAATGAAATAAATTAGGTCACTTGAAGTTATGATGTTTAATTGTTATAATATCATTGCATGCACCAAATAATGACGATTATGCTAAATGTATTCATAAATTTTCTATTAAGAATAAAACAGAAAAAAACGTCATTTTTTACCATGCGATTATCATTTAATATTATTTTTATTTAATTTATGTTTTATATTAATCTCTTTGTTTAAAATGTACAAAAGTTTCCTTCACAAAACTTTTAAAAAGTGATTTTAAATGTCTTAAAATAATATAGAGGCGATCTCTATGATATGGCTCTCGGTAAAAATTAAAATTCAGTTGGTATGTGCAAGGGGAGGGGTCTGACAACTGGCGTAATATACACCCCCGCATCCCCGGGGGGAGGGGCAGGATTCTAGGCGACCCAAAGCCTGTGTTATGTTAGGACTTTGAAATCCTTTGTAAGATCCGGCTTGTGGTCCAAAAATGACTTTGCATGGGGGAGGGGGGCGTAATATTCTCCATTCGCCATTGGATCTGTGAGCCCTGTGTACACAATTGATGTTGTGACAACCTTATAAAACAATAATAATTTTGTCCTAATTACTTGATCGCACATCAAAATTAAGAGGTCCTTCGCCATTAGAACTTGTGTTACTTTGAAATGTGAAATCAATAGACAGTCAAATCAAATATAAAATTTTTTGGCTAAGCAATAAATTTAAGAGAATAAATTTATCTCAATGCAAAGCAGAAATAAATAAAAACAAGCAGTTTAGGGAAGAGAAGAAAGGCTTTTTTTGTGCCTGTCCTTTTCTTGTATTTTTACTTCGCAAAAGCATTGTCCAAAAGAGGAAAAAAATGAAAGTTTTATTATTTAATCGGGATTTTAAAATAATTTTTAATGAAGGACTTCTAAGTAACTTTTTTTTAAAAACTAAATAAAGATGGGAGAAAATATATTAGTTTAATAAAAGTAAGCAATTAAGGGAGGTTCTGAAAAAATTGCTTACAACATTTTGATGCGCATTACAGGGGTCTAATTATCAAGTGTTTCCGTAGTGTAATGGTTATCACGTGCGCTTCGCATGCGCAAAATCCCTGGCTCGATCCCGGACAGGGAACATCGTTGAAAATAAAGAATTAACTCTTTTGTTATAAAAAATAATTATTATAGATTTTATAGTAATTTTTCATGAGCTTGATTGATTACTAATCCGTTTAAACATCAGTTGTTTAATAGAGTTTGCAATCAAATAATAATAAGTAATATAGTCGGTTTTCGTTAGATTTCTAAAGACTTAGTATGGGATTATTGTTAGCTAATTTTTTTCATATTTTTAATATCTGTTGCTTGAAAATAAAAAAAAGCTCAGAATTCTAATGTGTTTCATGAGTCAAAAGCCTCACCATAATATTTTCTTCTTAAATAAATTATAAGTATCAAATTGCTATTTATAGATTTTTTTTTTGTCCAGAAATAATTTATTTCCTCAAAATAAAGTCAGGTTATAAATTTTCTGAATTTGTAAATTTCAGTTGAAGGGGAAAAAAAACTTTTCTTCAAAAATTATCTTTTTCCTTTTACAATACAATTCAATTACTAAAAAAAATTTAAAAAAAAACTCTTTTCCGAATGAAGTATGTATAATTTTGTAACTTCAATTCAGTATCCCGTTAATAAATGTATACATTAGTTTCCATAATATATATTTTATATGGAAACTATATATGGAAATATGGAAACTATAAATGGTCTATAACCATTTTGTTATATTTTATCAACTAAATTATCACCGTATATTTCCTAGTTATTCTACCATAAAACCTGAACAATATTTCGAGGGTAAGACAGAGTCTCTTATTTGCAATAATACCGATAACACGATGATTGAATCTGAATTGTTCTCATCTTTTTAATAAAAATGTATCTTCTCTTAAATTATTTGATTTTTTTCTTGTACAGTAGAACGTCGTTTATCCGAATCAATTGGGACCGGACACCATTCGGATACGCGATTGTTCGGATAACCGAAAACCGAATATGATCCATGCAGTATATGAAACCAAACACCATACGAATATTGAATATCATCACATGCGGGAAACGTGCTTGAAGAAAAAGCAAAATAGTTGCAAAATGTCGCACAACCTTTATTGTGGAAAATAATCACTTATTTTTCGCTGTACCATTGTACACCTTCGTTTTTTCACTACAAGGTCTCTGATTCTCTTGAGCAGCAGTAGTTGAGTAGGACAGATTGTTGTTCGTACAACTCCATAGCTGTCTTAAACGCAGAAACGCGTCAGCATTTAATGGACCCTTCCTACTTTCGTAGTTGTTGTCCTCGTCTTCATCCGTTTCATCGTCGACAGGGTCGGATTTTTCATGCACGGAAGTCACAATGTCGTCATCATTTCGCATTTGAAATCCAATCTTCTGCATCGCATGCCATCCTGGTTTCTACGTGAATAAAACTCAACAAAAGAGCAAGTATACACCCCTTAACTTGTAAGCAAACGGACCTAATATTTCGCACAGATGTTTACCAAATCACACAACTGTAATTCCCCAAATATCCCTCATCTTAGATTTTCCCGTCACTTTTGACCTCACGCGAAACAACTGTTTAGTGTTGCACTGTTCGAAAACGTATCTGGACTTTGGTTCGGATATTTGACGCTCCGGTAATAAACGGTCGGATAAATGACGTTCTACTCTGTACATCTTTTTTCGTACATAACTTCTGAGTTTTTTCAATGATGTTTAATACATTGCAAGCACATCTTAAATTATTTCTTTTTTCAAATTCACGCGCTTGTGGAGGAAGTTTTTTGACAGTAGAGGCCTGCAATACAAATTTATTTATAATATAAGGCCATCTCTAGATTTTAGAAATATTTCAGTTTTAGAAATAAAATGCAATTTAACTGTTGTTTAATTTATGAATTTTAACTTCAAGTTCTGTAAGGCAAATGAAAAACATTTCTTGCTATAGTAACACTCAATAAATCTTTTTCTATTATAATCCACACAAAGAATAAGAAGCAAAATATTCAGTTTTGTCATATTTAAAGATGAATCTAAAAACTAAGTTTAAATCTTTAGTTCAGAACTGTAAGTAACGCTATTTACTATTGTATATGTGTACGCCTTTGATCCATTATAAATAACAACAAGTTTTTGTCCATTTAGGTCTGGGAGTTAAGCCGTCTTTTCTGCGGGGCTTATATCACCCAAAGAATAAAAAGAGTCTTCAAAGGGTTATCGGAATGACCAACACGTCATGTTATCAATGTTATTGATCGTCTGAAAATATTATTCCTAACGTTCTGGAATATGAAAAGATTAAGGCGGTGTATTGGAACATTATGTTGTTGGTTCTTTCTTCTCGATGTGACTGATTCTTGTTTGTGTTGGACACTTTTTAGTAGGGGAGTTGTGTATTTTGTTGACGGTTGAAAAAGATTTGTCACGGATCTGCTGAAGCGTAAACTTTAGATTAGAGATTAAGGATGAGATAAGAGGAGTAGAAAAGGGTTAACCATGAAATATATTCTAGTTTGCTAAGAGATTTTTTCTTCGAAGAGTGTGATCAATGAAAAGCTCACGTTTCTCAAACTGGCATGTTTTTCAAATAACTCTTCTATTTTTCTCGGTTGGATTCAAAAATATGAATGATAATAATCTTTTTCATATGAATATTATGGCGGATACGAATGTGTGAGAGTTGAAATGTCTCCCTTCTCACCCCTTGAAGATAATCGACAAAAATAGCATATTCTACCTTCTTTTGAGAGGGTTTGAGAATTACAAGATTTTTTTTTTTATCATTTTGAACTTAATTTGAGTACCTCCCCTCTTTTTTTCACTCTCTGGAGAAATAGAATTTTATCTTTCTATATTCTAGAATGCCTTATATTTGTTAAAAATAAGTTTTAAATGATACAAATTCCTTTAAAACAAATACAGCTTCCTAAAAATTGGGTATATTCTCCAAAGTTTCAAAAAAGGTATGCAAAAGAATTATCTGTAATCTTGTTTATAATGTTCTAAACTTAAGATATTTTCCTCTATTTATGGGAGTGACATTTTAGAAAAATTTTATGATATATATTTTATGCAAAATTTCAGAATTTATTTTACGAAAAAAAAAGAAGAAGCGTTAAAAGATTCAAATGATTTATTCCTATACCTACATTTCTTTAGGTGAAAAAAAAAACTATTTAAAAATGTTTATAAAAATAAAAATCGTATTCTAAATTACTTTACTACATCCCTTTTTAAAATATATTTTATTTTATTTCATAATTTTTAGGGAGTTTCAATTAAAAAAATATATTAAAGTGGTATGAATAACTACTTTTCTATTAAAATATTTGAAAAATATTTTTAATTTCCTAAATACTTTTGCAACATTTGAACATTGAATTTCACTTTTCATCAATTTTTGCTAAATTTAATTTGAAACCTTTTTATTCGTTTTCTTTGCTTTTCTACTTTATTCTTTTTTTTATATCTATTTTCCTTGTAAAACATTTGCATTTCGCTTAAATTTAAAAAAAAATCATGTTTCTCAAATGAAAAAAAAACTGCTAGTTTTTTTTTTTTTTTTTTTTTTTTCGATTCGAAGAAATCCGTTAATTTTGTGCTGCCATCTATACTTCAGAAATGAAGTCTTAAATATTCCCAAAAAAGAACGGATGAAAAAAATTATTAAAGTTGAAATTATTTCTAATTAAAAAAAAAAAGAAACAGCCACTGGTTGGCGTAATTTATTTTTTGCACTTTTCACGAGATTGTTAAGCCATCCAAGTATGATTACCTAGCTGAGTTCTTAGTTGTGAAGAAGAAATCGTATCAGCGCATTTTCGTACATGTCCGTTACGTTTTTTTTTTTTTTTTTTTTTTCAATTTGAAAGCTTTGTAGAATTTGGTTCTGTAGTTTTCATTTTTTTAATACTTCTTTTAATTTGTTATTCACTACTTATTTATATGTATATGCTGGTATATAAAATTAATTTTCTTTTTTCTTAATATTTATGCAGACGATTTTAAATCGATTTCTTTTTAAACATTTCCACAGTTTCAGTTCTTATTTGCCGTTAACTTGCATTTTTTCATCAACTTTTCTGTTGAACATTCCATAGTTTTTGTGTTCTCGTTTGTCAAAATCTCGCATTTTTGTTCCTAGTTTTTAGTGGAACATTTTGAGGAATATTTCACAACTCTTTTTTTTGGCACCTTTCTTCCGTTGTGGGTACGTTTTTTCCAAAGTAAATTTCTTTTTTTTTTAAATAAATTTTTACTGATACTGGTGATGGCCACCAAAGTTATTAGTATTGTTGCAAATGCGAATGAATGAATGGTGAAATACGGTGAGTATTCTGAAAGGATTTTTGTGCTATTTTGCCTGCGTTAAGAAAGAAAGCTGTGTTAGAATGGTGCATAAAGACGGTTTAATTGGATCATTGTATGCATGTTCGAAGTTCGAACTGTGGGAAAGCATGAAATTGAGAAAAAGGGAGCACAAAAAAGAAGGCAATAAGTGATGTGTTAAAAATAGTGTATCTTAATTTTTCATTTTTAATTAATTAATTTTAACTAAAATTAATTGTTATTTAATTTGTTAGATTAATTTTTCACAAACAATTTTAAAAAGTGATTTAACTTTGCCACGTTTTTCAGCAGTAAAGGTTTTATAAAATGTTTTATTGCAACGTCTCCATCTTGAATTTCGCGCTCTTGCAATTCGTTTTCTGGAGGGTCATTTTGACAATGCATTGCTTAAGTTGATGCATATTTGCAGGAATTTTGTATTTTAATATGTGTACATAATATTTACTTTAGAAGTATATTGCTAACAAATAGAGTAATTTTCAAATTATTTTTTAAATATTAAACCCCTTTTTTGTTTTTTCCTTCAAAAAGTACAATAAAAAAAAGGAATATAAAATATGTTATTATAGATTTCTTTTAGAATGAGTTCATTTCGTGCATCACGATTGGGAATTGTAATACCGGTATTCACGAATTTAAATACCGTTTTTTTCCCCATATGTTCAGGGATCGCCAACATAGCAAAATAGTATACGTTATTGTTTTTATGTCTTCCTAACGGGCGA